ATAATTATTATTTCAAGAGAAGTAAAGCATTTTTGCTCGTTTATGTGGGCCGTCCCAAGCATGGTTGCAATGTGTTCATTGTCAAACTCCAAAATCTGATTATTTTTAATTCTTAAAAAACGCCATTGTTTTATTTAAACAAAAGAAAAGAAAAAGATGTTAGATGTTACAATGTACCCACCTGCGGGGCATGTCGTCATATTTCACTTCCATTTTTTGAGGGTAAATAAAGAAAAACGTATACACTGTAATTATGAAACAAAGCGACATATTTGTACTAGACAAGTGTAAAATTACTGTGGATTAAAAAAATATATATTCTGAACCCCATGTGGATTTACACAAACTGAGAAAGTCAAAAAGTGTTACTTTGTGCCCCGCTCTCCCCTACCTCTGTAAATAAATACAATATAAATTCACGTCTCGCACACTTTAATGCCCTTTGAATGTAACGTGTACGTTCCCTTGGAACTGGAATCATGGCGGAATTTCATGTGAAGTCCACTTCGCAGGGCACTTACGGTCGAATAAGACAATGCGTGAATACTGCCTGAACAAGAGACCTCATTACTGAAGGGAAAATGTTGACTGGTGTCACTATCTCGCGAACGCGCCGGCGGATCTCCACCAAATTCGGGGGATCCCTTCAGCTCGAGGAGCCCACTCGACCGCCACACTCCGCGTGTCGGTAGCCCCCCGGGATTGCTAGATCGGTCGGCGCCGGACCGCAAATTTAACCACCCGTAACTCCCGAACCCTGGGGGCTATCCACGCGGGGGTGGTCTCATTCGAAAGAGGGCCTCAAGACGTACACTCGATTCGCGTTCGAGAGGGTTCCTTGAGCTGAAGAAATCCCCTGAATTTGGTGTTGATTCGCTGCGTCGTTACGGAGATATGGCCGTTCAAAATTTCAATGGTTTTCCATAGACTTAAGCTTTAAAGCGTTTCATCCAGGTCGCCAGTAGCAAACAATGGAGCGTGCTCTGCTGGACAAACAAACTAATTACACCATTTCAAGCATTTTATATGCATTATATGTTCTGTAAAAAAAATTTCATATCGGCGGCATATTCGCCGATACCGATATATCGGCGACAGGCTCATAACGGCCGATAATATCGGCAAAACGATATATTGGTCGGGCTCTAGTCTACACTGGGTGCGGCGCGGCACGACAAATCCCCGACAGTAAACTGATGCCGCAGTCTCTTTATGACGTACTGACACACAGTTCAAATGATATGCAACGGTCACTTTGTCTCGTCCAGTGTAAACACACTT